TGGTGTCATTATAACTCACGGCAACCTCAAACTCCTGGACTCAAGAGATCCTTCTGCCTCAGCCTCCCAAGTAGCTGGGACTACAGGCACCCACCACAATGCCCAGCTAAGTTTTCTATTTTTAATAGAGATGAGGTCTTGCTCTTGCTTGGTTTGGTTTCAAACTCCTGACCTCAAGTGATCCCAGAGTGCTAGAATAACAGGCATCAGTCATCATGCCCAGTCAGTTATTTCAATTTTTTTTTCACAGTTTTTGGCTGGGGCTTGGTTTGAACTCACCACCTCCAGGATATGGGGTCAGGGCCCCACACCCTTGAGCCACAGGCACTGCCCAATTATTTCAATTTTTTAAAAAGTCATTGATACATTCAAGTTCTTCATGTCGTCTTGGGTCAATTTTGGAATTATGTATTTTTTCTAGAAATATATCTCTTTCATATTTTTTGTGTGCTTAATGTTTTATTTAATTCTAATCTTCGTATTGTCTCTCTTTTTATTCTGTATTAGCTCATCTGTATCTTTTATTCTTGATAAATTTTGCTAGAGTTCCCCTAATTCATCTTTTAATTGAAAGAATCGGCTCTTGGGTTTGTTATTCTTTTCTGTTTTTATTATTCTTGTTTTCTCTTTTGTTAGGGCCCTTTCCCCCCATACCCTTCTTCTTTCTTTGGGTTTATTCGAGTGTTCTTTTCTCAGTGTTTGAGTTGTTCTCGTTTGCATTTCTTAACTTTTTATGTGTTGTTTTTTAACTTAATAAAATTTAATTTAGTTTCCAAACGTTTGGGACATTTTAAAATTGACTTTTTGTTATTTATTGCTAACCTTATTGCAACTTTGTCAGAAAAAGAGAATCTGTACAATATTGTTTCTTTAAAATGTATTGGACAGGGCGGTGCCCGCAGCTCCGTGGGTGGGGTGCAGGCCACATACACTGAGGCTGGTGGGTTCAAACCCGGCCTGGGCTGGGTAAAATGTATGGGGCAAATGCAAACATTGTAGCCTAGTTGTTTATACCCTCACAGTCATCTGAAATAAAAAAAAAGTTTGGGGGACTAAATATTGAGGCCTGATTGAGCTCACCTTATGGCTGAAACTGTTTTCAGATTTGTGTGTGTGCTTGTCTGTTTACCTTTGTTTTGTCCATTTTTATTTTATATATATATATATATATATATTTTTTTTTTTTTTTTTGAGCAAATGGTCAATGTTTATTAAAAAACAGTACACTCCAGAGAAGAGAAGAACACCCTGGGTTAGTGAGATTTTCCACGTCATGCTGATTTTCCAAATCTATGTTAAGTGGTGAGGGGGTAAGATATTTATTATTTTTACTGGACAGAGGGAAAAATTCCTGAATGGAGAGTCCTCCCATTTCTATCCCTTTAAGACAATTTCCAGAAGTTGTCATAGTATTTGTAAACTGTGAGAAAAGTGGTGAAAATTTTACTGTTTATGAAAATGGATCACTTGAGGCTACTGTCACCTTACTTGTATGCATGCTGCAAAGACCCCTTTTTGTGGCCTTGGCCATATCTCCACCTCCAAGAGTCATTTTTGTAGAGAAAACATCAGTTCAGTTTTTGAAAACCTTCCTGAAATGCTTTTCTTTCTTGGCAGCCCACTCTGGTAATTCTGTTCCTCTTATTATGGACAAGGGATCTCCTACAATCATCTGCCCCTGTTTCTCCTTAGCCCTACCAAACAGGATAAACACAACTTTAAGATATGATTGACATTTGTTGACTATTTCTCCCATATGAATTATGATTGGAAAAGCATGAGAAATATGTAAAGACATTGTAATATTCCTCAGATAGAATATATCTATGAATCAGATTCAACATTGTCTTCACATTTATAGGGGTTTTCTCTGTCATAAATTTCATATACAGAACAATTTGAGCAGAAGTTAAACACTTGTCACATTCTTCACATTTATGGCATTTCTGTTCAACATGAATTCTACTGTGTACAGAAAACTGTGATTACTGGCTTAAAGCTTTCCCACACCTTCATATTGTGATTTTTCTCAGGCATGATTTTCTTATGTTTACTAAGGGACAATAATCAGTTAAAACCTTTGCCATATTATTCTCATTTGTAAGATTTCTCTATTTTATATATTTTGAAGCAGTGCTATTAGGTGTATTGGAAAGTGAATTTGGGTCTCCAGTAATGCTTTTGACTTAGTTTATATCAATAAAGCAATACCTGCTTGCTTTTGTTTTTTCAAATTAACGTGAGGGTACAATTTTTAGGTTACATTGTTCTTACTTCAGGGTAAAGTTCCATTTGTAGAAGAGCCCGTCTCCCAGGGGGCAGGTTATACAGACACCCTCACAGTATGCACATTAGGTGAGATCCCATCTCATGCCCTCCCTCCTCCTTCAAAATGTCCTCCCCACTCCCGCTTCTCTCTACCCCCGAACTGGACTATATTAGTGTTTTATTGTTCTTATGAGCATGTAATTGCTTACATATTGATTTCATATGAGTATGGAGTGCATTGGATACTTATTTTTCCATTCTTGTGATACTTTACTAAGAAGAATGTATTTCAACTCCATCCAGGTAAATGTAAAAGATGTAAAGTCTCCGTCTTTTTTAATTGCTGAATAATATTTGTTGGTGTCCTTATACCACAGTTTGTTGATCCATTTCCCACAACTTGGCCATTATGAATTGAGCCACAATAAACATTCTAGTGCAAATGTCTTTGTTGTACAATGGGTTTTTTTCTTCTAGGTCAGCAGTTCTCAACTTGTGGATCGTGACCCATAGGAACTGTATTAAAGGGCCGTGGCATTAGGAGGGTTGAGAACCGCTGTTCTAGGTAGAAACCTAGTAATGGGATTGCAGGGTCAAATGGAAGATCTACTTTTAGATGTTTGAGGATTCTCTATACTTCTCTCCAAAAAGGCTGTATTAGTTTGCAATCCCACCAGTAGTGTAGAAGTGTTCTCTTCTGTCCACATTCATGCCAGCTTGACACCTGCTTTCTTTTGGCCAATGTTTACCTGCCACACCTTTCTCCCTCCATTCTTTCGTGTTCAATCTTATTTCATCCTTGTGAATTGTTGAATGTCACATAAACAGCTTGTACCTGCATTTTAAAAAATCCAATCTGACAATTTTTGTCTTTTAGCAGGATCCTTTAATCCGTCATAGTTTCACTAAAATATTTGGATTTAGTGCTTATCTTTGTCACTTGTTCTCATTGTTTTATTTTTTCAGTCCTTTTATTTTTAGATATTTTCTCATTACTTTTTCCTCTTATTCTGGAAGTTATTTATGTTCTGTTTTTAATGTTGACCCTAGAAATTTTAATGCATAGACTTTCTAAAGTCTCAAGTTAATATTGTCACCCTAGCCCCGATAACTAAAGGACTTTAGAAAACTAACCTCAGTGATCAAGTTTCTGATCACGTTGCTGTTTTTTTTAGATTTTTATTTAATTGACACATTCCCTAATTTATGTAATATTTGATTAGATTCACACTCAGATTTAATACTTTTGTTCAAGATTCCTTTTTGCATCTTTCCTCCTCGGGTCATTATCCTTTTGGTATTTTTTTTATTTTGAGTGTTTCCTTTATGAGATTTATTATGCTTCTTTGGAAAATACAGCCCACGGTGCAGTTGGTCTTTTCTTCCTGTAGGATGAACAGCAAGGGCTCTTTCCTTAACGAAAGCCTCTGCTTTCCTCCAAAACCCGGACAGAAGTCAGGACAGAAGGTGATACTTGTATTGGGGTAGGGGAGGGAACTTCCAGATAGTTCAGCTGGACTCGGGCAGTGTAGGGAGATGGTGCTTGAGTGAGGGGTGAGCGGCCAGTGGAGCTGGGGGAGAGCAGTGACCCTGTAGCCCCCTCTGTCTCGTCAGCCTCCCTGGCCTGAGCACTTCATGACAGCTGTGTCAGTTTGGGGGTAGTGTGTTTTAAACTTCTAGAAGTGCAGATTGAGTCCATGTCTTAAGAGAACCTGTTACCTTCTCTGGCTTTCTTGGGCCCTTGATGTGAGGCTGATGTCAGGCCAAACAAGACAGGAACCTCTGGTAGCTTCAGGAGAGTGGGTGTTGGCCAGTGGTGCTTACCACGTTGTAGGGCTGCTCTGAAGCTATCTGCGTCACCGTGGAGGGGAGGTCTTTGAGCTGTTGTGACTCTTCAGGGAGATGCCGATGTGAGGGTTTGTGTGAAGATGTATAGTAAACGCTCCGTGCTTGTTTGCTGCCAATACTGCTACTGTGGTGGGTGTCAGCGTTATTGCTCCCAGCACTGGTTTGGCTTCATTCCTGCCATCTTTGCTGTGAGCTGTCTTCTAAGAAAAAAGGTAAATCAGAGCTGCCTTCTTGAAGGCTCACATTTCTTTTTTTTTTTTTTTCTTTCTTTTTTTGAGACAGAGCCTCAGGCTGTTGCCCTGGGTAGAGTACCATAGTGTCACAGCTCAC